TTAAAGAAGATTTTCGATAAATTTTCTTTTTAAAGAAGATTTTCGATAGATTTTCTTTTGAAAGAAGATTTTCGATAATTTTTCTATATAAAGAAGTTTTTTTTATAATTTTTCTATTTAAAGAAGATTTTCGATAAATTTTCTATTTAAAGAAGATTTTCGATAAATTTTCTATTTAAAGAAGATTTTCGATAAATTTTCTTTTTAAAGAAGATTTTCGATAAAATTTTTTTATAGAATTTAGATATTTTCTTTTTATAGAAAATTGTCGATAAATTTTCTTTTTTTATAGAAAATTTTCGATACATTTTCTTTTTTTATAGAAAATTTTCGATAAATTTTCTTTTTTTATAGAAAATTTTCGATAAATTTTCTTTTTTTTTTATAGAAAATTTTCGATAGATTTTCTTTTTTTTATAGAAAATTTTCGATAAATTTTCTTTTTTTTATAGAAAATTTTCGATAAATTTTCTTTTTTTTATAGAAAATTTTCGATAAATTTTCTTTTTTTTTATAGAAAATTTTCGATAAATTTTCTTTTTTATAGAAAATGTTCGATAAATTTTCTTTTTTTTATAGAAAATGTTCGATAAATTTTCTTTTTTTTATAGAAAATTTTCGATAAATTTTCTTTTTTTTATAGAAAATTTTCGATAAATTTTCTTTTTTTTATAGAAAATTTTCGATAAATTTTCTTTTTTTTATAGAAAATGTTCGATAAATTTTCTTTTTTTTTATAGAAAATTTTCGATAAATTTTCTTTTTTTTATAGAAAATTTTCGATAAATTTTCTTTTTTTTATAGAAAATTTTCGATAAATTTTCTTTTTTTTATAGAAAATTTTCGATAAATTTTCTTTTTTTTTATAGAAAATTTTCGATAAATTTTCTTTTTTTTATAGAAAATTTTCGATAAATTTTCTTTTTTTATAGAAAATTTTCGATAAATTTTCTTTTTTTTATAGAAAATTTTCGATAAATTTTCTTTTTTTTTATAGAAAATTTTCGATAAATTTTCTTTTTTTTATAGAAAATTTTCGATAAATTTTCTTTTTCTTATAGAAAATTTTCGATAAATTTTCTTTTTTTTATAGAAAATTTTCGATAAATTTTCTTTTTTTTATAGAAAATTTTCGATAAATTTTCTTTTTTTTATAGAAAATTTTCGATAAATTTTCTTTTTTTTATAGAAAATTTTCGATAAATTTTCTTTTTTTATAATTTTCGATAAATTTATTTTATAGAAAATGTTTGATAAATTATCTTTTTTTTATAGAAAATTTTCGATAAATTATCTTTTTTATAGAAAATTTTAGAAAAATTTGCTTTTTATAGAAAATTTTCGATAAATTTGCTTTTTATAGAAAATTTTCGATAAATTTGCTTTTTATAGAAAATTTTCGATAAATTTCCTTTTTATAGAAAATTTTCGATAAATTTGCTTTTTATAGAAAATTTTCGATAAATTTGCTTTTTTATAGAAAATTTTAGAAAAATTTGCTTTTAATAGAAAATTTTCGATAAATTTCCTTTTTATAGAAAATTTTCGATAAATTTCCTTTTTAGAAAATATAGAAAATTTTCGATAAATTTCCTTTTTATAGAAAATTTTCGATAAATTTGCTTTTTATAGAAAATTTTCGATAAATTTGCTTTTTATAGAAAATTTTCGATAAATTTGCTTTTTATAGAAAATTTTCGATAAATTTCCTTTTTATAGAAAATTTTCGATAAATTTGCTTTTTATAGAAAATTTTCGATAAATTTGCTTTTTATAGAAAATTTTCGATAAATTTGCTTTTTATAGAAAATTTTCGATAAATTTTCTTTTTTTATAGAAACTTTTCGATAAATTTTCGATAAATTTTCTTTTTTTATAGAAAATTTTTGATAAATTTTCTTTTTTTATAGAAAATTTTCGATAAATTTTCTTGTTTTATAGAAAATTTTCGATAAATTTTCTTGTTTTATAGAAAATTTTCGATAAATTTTCTTTTTTTACAGAAAATTTTCGAAAAATTTTCTTTTTTTATAGAAAATTTTCGAAAATTTTCGATAAATTTGCTTTTATAGAAAATTTTCGATAAATTTGCTTTTTACAAATAATTTTCGATAAATTTGTTTTTTACAGATAATCTTCGATAAATTCGCTTTTCACATATAATTTTCGATAAATTTTCTATTTATAGAAAATTTTCTATTTATACAAAATTTTGGATAAAATAGCTTTTTATAGATAATTTTCGATAAATTTGCTTTTTATAGATAATTTTTGATAAATTAGCTTTTTACAGATAATTTTCGATAAATTTGCTTTTTATAGATAATATTTTATAAATTATCTTTTTATTGATAATTTTCGACAAATTTGCTTTTTATAGATAATTTTCATAAATTTTGCATTTCATAGAAATTTTTCATAAATTTGCTTTTTATAGAAAATTTTCCATAAATTCGCATTTTATAGAAAATTTTCTATAAATTCGCTTTTTATAGAAAATTAGTTGAAAACTTTTAATTTTGAAAAAATCTTATATTTTTATACTTTCATTCCTTTTTATATTTTTAATAAATTTTTATAAACTTTTCATGGAATATGTTTTGAGATTTGTCCTTGATTATTGTGACCTACATATTCCAAACATCTACTTTAAAGTAACCGTCTTACTATTCTGTTCCAAAACCCAAGACACATTGTTTTTGCCTGATGGCAACACAATGTGTCTTGGGTTTTAGCAAGTAACCAAACCATCTGCACGCTTTGCTGTTGTTAAACCTATTACAAGGTTGATTTTAAAGTGTATTGTGTTGTATTGAAGTATTGCCAGATAGTTTTATTGAATTGGCATTTAAAATATCCTTAATTGTATCAAAGCCTTGTAGAGGCTAGACTAGACTATAGTCGATAGTATAGTCTATAGCCCTAGGCTATAGTCTAGTCTATAGCCCTAGGCTATAGTCTTGTCTGTAGTCTGGCCTATAGTCTAGTCTGTAGTCTGGTCTATAGTCTAGTCTGTAGTCTGGTCTATAGTCTAGTCTATAGTGTAGTCAATAGTCTAGTCTAAAGTCTAGTCTATAGTCTAGTCTAAAGTCTAGTCTATAGTCTAGTCTATAGTCTAGTCTATAGTCTAGTCTATAGTCTAGTCTATAGTCTAGTCTATAGTCTAGTCTATAGTCTAGTCTATAGTCTAGTCTATAGTCTAGTCTATAGTCTAGTCTATAGTCTAGTCTATAGTCTAGTCTATAGTCTAGTCTATAGTCTAGTCTATAGTCTAGTCTATAGTCTAGTCTATAGTCTAGTCTATAGTCTAGTCTATAGTCTAGTCTATAGTCTAGTCTATAGTCTAGTCTATAGTCTAGTCTATAGGTCTAGTCTATAGTCTAGTCTATAGTTAGTATAGTCTAGTTATAGTCTAGTCTATAGTCTAGTCTATAGTCTAGTCTATAGTCTAGTCTATAGTCTAGTCTATAGTCTAGTCTATAGTCTAGTTATAGTCTAGTCTATAGTCTAGTCTATAGTCTAGTCTATAGTCAGTCTATAGTCTAGTCTATAGTCTAGTCTATAGTCTAGTCTATAGTCTAGTCTATAGTCTAGTCTATAGTCTAGTCTATAGTCTAGTCTATAGTCTAGTCTATAGTCTAGTCTATAGTCTAGTCTATAGTCTAGTCTATAGTCTAGTCTATAGTCTAGTCTATAGTCTAGTCTATAGTCTAGTCTATGTCTAGTCTATAGGTCTAGTCTATAGTCTAGTCTATAGTCTAGTCTATGTCATAGTCTAGTCTATAGTCTAGTCTATAGTCTAGTCTATAGTCTAGTCTATAGTCTAGTCTATAGTCTAGTCTATAGTCTAGTCTATAGTCTAGTCTATAGTCTAGTCTATAGTCTAGTCTATAGTCTAGTCTATAGTCTAGTCTATAGTCTAGTCTATAGTCTAGTCTATAGTCTAGTCTATAGTCTAGTCTATAGTCTAGTCTATAGTCTAGTCCATAGTCTAGTCTATAGTCTAGTCTATAGTCTAGTCAATAGTCTAGTCTATAGTCTAGTCTATAGTCTAGTCTATAGTCTAGTCTATAGTCTGGTCTATAGTCTAGTCTATAGTCTAGTCTATAGTCTAGTCTATAGTCTAGTCTATAGTCTGGTCTATAGTCTAGTTTATAGTCTAGTCTATAGTCGAGTCTATAGTCTAGTCTATAGTCTAGTCTATAGTCTAGTCTATAGTCTAGTCTATAGTCTAGTCTATAGTCTAGTCTATAGTCTAGTCTATAGTCTAGTCTATAGTCTAGTCTATAGTCTAGTCTATAGTCTAGTCTATAGTCTAGTCTATAGTCTAGTCTATAGTCTAGTCTATAGTCTAGTCTATAGTCTAGTCTATAGTCTAGTCTATAGTCTAGTCTATAGTCTAGTCTATAGTCTAGTCTATATTCTAGTCTATATTATTTTATATAGTTATTCTATAGTATATATATAGTATAATATGGTTTATAGTATGGTCTAGTCTATATTCCAGTCTATAGTCTAGGCCAGTGTACCTTGGTCTAGTCTATAGTCATATAAATCACATTGTATCTATGAAAATTTTTAAATTTAACAGATTCGTAATAATTTGTGTCACCTTGCTTAATGCTCTCTCTCTTTAGCACACAGTTGTATAAAGTAGTTAGTATTAAGTATTCGAAAATATTTTTTCTTAAATTTTTGAGTTTTTATTCCATCCCTGCATAATTTCTCACACAATTTTTGTGATTGCTTTATTTTGTTATAAATTATATACAAAATTCCACTTTTTCATCTCTCTCGGATTCCGTTTTTATTTAAAATCTTTAAAAATTTAAAAATTAAGCGTATTTGAGAACTTAGTCGATTTTAAGCCGCCGCCGATATTTTTAGTGTCAGCCGCCGTCTTCGTTAATATTTGTTGGCGCAGGGCTTGACGAATGTGAAAACAAAAGCAAAATGGAAAACATAATAAATCAAGCAGAGACAAAAGAAAATTAAGTTTTTGCCAGCAAGGATGAGCATTTATTTTTTGGTGAAACAAGGGTAATAATTTCTCAATAAATTAATAAAAAATTAAAAATATATAATAAATAAAATGGAAAACCAATAAATTACTATTTTATGAAATAAAAATGTCGGGTTTTAGTGTTAAAATAAGTTATTTAATACCTATTATGAAGACTTAAAATTTTTCGGACAAAGGGACTGCTTGTGAAAATTTTGTACCCGTTTTTTATACTTGGTGTGCGAGTGAGTGTTTGTGTATGTCGCTGCTTTGCGGTAACAAGTCAATGAATTTTTCATTTCAAAAAGTTGGTGGGTTGTTCGGTCGGTTCGGTTTTTTTTTCTGGCTGTGACTGACAGAATGAATGGCTGCTGCTGCTGGGTGGCTGGCTGTTTAGGCTTATTTAGCTTCTTTTGACTTTAGTGCCAGACAAAAGATTGAAAAGCTAAAACATAGGAAGTAAAAAACACTTAGCGAGACCACATTCTAAAAAAACAAAATACTATTAGAATAATAAATGTTTATTTAGTAAAGTTCTTTCTTCTCATTTACAAATGAACAAAACTATTCAACATTCAGCTAAATGGAGTTAGTTGAATGGAAAAACCAGCAAAAAAAAAAACAAGTCATAAAAATCGGTGCTGTGCGGATAAAATAAACAAAAGAATGTTGTGTAAATGAGGTAAAAAAAACTACTCTATTAAATGCAACAAAAAAAAAAAACGAGAAAAAAGTGGAAAAAATACAAAAAACATGATTTATAAAGAATGCGTGTGTTTTCTTTTTTTGCTTTCAAGCAGCCAGAAAATCACACAAAACAGTTTTATAGAAACGGGAGCAAGTAGCAGATGAATTCTGTTGAAAAACTTGTAAAACTTAAAACAGCAATTGAAAATCTAAAATTAAATTTTACCTAAATTTTCCATTCTACATTTGGTCAATTACAATTACAGAAAAAAGAAGAAAATGGAAAAACCAATTGTGCAATAAAAATTTTGAAAGAAAACTAATCACTTTCTGTGGAAATTTTGTTAAACTATTGTTTGGTATAATTCCAGAAAAAAATTTAAAATTACCTGCCAAAAAGGATTAATGAACTCAAGAGTAGTGCTCATAAATCGAATACATGCAAAAGCAGCAATAAATAGAATAATGAACGTTAAAGTGTGGTTAAAATTAGTGTGTCATTAGGGTGAAAGACTTCAAAAAGTGGCAAATATGTAAAAAAGTTATTTTCTTATAGGTATCAAGATGAAAAACTAAAATTAATCAATGAAATCTGAAAAATAATAGTGAATAAACTTAAACAACTAGAAAACAACAAAAGAATTTAATTTATGTAAAAAACTAAAAAAAAAAACTTGAAAAGTGGTGGTTTCCCCCAAACCTGTGCAAACCTCCCTTAAGTTCTATATAAAACATTTTGCTTCCTTTATAACTTTATAAATAGCAATTATAAAATTTTATAATTTTAACCAATTCTCGTTATTAATTAAATTAATTGAAAAAATAATAAAAAAAATTTAATACTTTTTGCATTTTGAGTAAAAGTACTAAAATATACAAAGCTGCATTTATTAAACACAGCTAGCAAATCAATGATTACTAAACATATGTAGCAAGTGAAAAACAGGTATTTTTAGTGTTACCATATTAAGTTAAAAATGTTATTCCCAAAATATTGATTATTTTAACAATTCCCACATTCATTTAAGAATTCTTGTTCGTTAGGCTTTGAAAGTTTATTAAACAAGTAAGAAAGTATAGTCGGGCGTTACCGACCATATGATACCCTACACCAGTTATGAATATTAAATGCGATTTATTTTTCATAATAAAGCATTTATCTTCAATATTCCCTTGTTCCGATACATTTAAGCAATTTATGGATGAAAAACTAATTTTCTGAAAGAGGCTTTATATGAGGACTAGGGGCAAATATGTACCAAGCCCGATAAAATTTTGTGAATATATTTATATTTACATAATATTTCATTGTGCTGAATTTCATCGCTATATTTGTGTTTATACGTTAGTTTGGGACATTCAAGTAATTTTCTGAAGGGGACTTTGTATGGGAGCTAGGGTCAAATGAGGCCCGATCTTTATGAAATTTGGCAGGGTCATCAAGACTTCTATAAAACTTAGTTGTGCCGTATTTTATCGATATATCTGTATATTTAAAATAATTATGAGCTCAGAAGCCCTTTTCCTTGGGTTCTGTTCTATGGGGGCTAGGTGAAATAATGGACCGATTTTAACCATTTTCAATAGGCTTCGTCCTTGGATCAAATAAAACGTGCGTGCCAAATTTCATCCAATTATCTTGAAACCTGTACCTTGCGCACAAGGTTTACATGCACAGCCAGCCAGACGGACGGACATAGCTTAATCGACTCAGAAAGCCGATTGGTATACTTTAAGGTGGGTCTAGGACGAATATTTTTGTATGTTACAAACATCAGCACAAATCCAATATACCCTCCCCACTTAAGTAGTGTAGGGTATAATTAAACTATAAAATGGCCAAAAAAATTTTATTATTACTATTATTTGATGTTAGATAAAATAAGTGAAATTGATTAATAAATTAATGTACGACCTAAACTTATAATTAATAATGAAACTATTTAGAATTTTCCTGTTCAAGGACAGTTTTCAAACCCATGAACTCGAGAATGAATATAATTTATTCATTAAATACTGATAGAAATCTTTATTGGAAACGGGCAAATGTGGAAACTACACAATACACTTATGCTATTTGGTATTATCCAGGGTACACAGGTATTATCGATAACAAGATAAAATTTTAAGTTGAAATTTATTACAACTTTTTTGAATAAAATTACAATTCAATAAAAGCAGTTGTAGCAAACTATAACTTAATAAAATACATCTCAATTGTTTAGAATATCGAAGTAAAGTTTGTTTAAATTGTCTTGAACTTACGAAAAATACGACTTCATAAAATTTTCCCTTAATTTTATGACAAAAAAGCATCAATTGCTCACTTTCAATCAATCTCAAACATTTTCAACTGAAATGAATTGTAATTCATAATACCAAAAAAAAAGTTGAGTTATTTTAAAGTTGAGTTGTTTCCATTCCAACTCAACTGAGTTGAGTTGTAAAACGGAATAGGAGCAAAAATGATTTATAAATACTAATAAAAAATTAGTCGGAACTGTTTACAAAATAGGCTCATAAAAGATTTGGGAACTATAAAGTAGTTATGTTTCTGTAAGGTAATTTTATATTATACTTTAATTATGAACTAAACACTAAATTAAGTCTAATTGAAATGCGATTTATTTGAAAAACCATAACAAAATGTACAACAGTTATAATATCATTGTTTATAAATATATATATACTTTGCGATGTCGGAAGTTTAAAAACTGTTTTCTGTATTGTTTGTAATAGACATTAAAACGACTCAGAAAAGATTAAGAAATTATTAAAAAGACCAGTAATTCGTCTTAAAAACTACTCAAAACATATTCAATGAGTCGGAACTGATCAGAAGAGGCGCTTATAATATAATCTTCTAGAAGAGTTGCCAATATTCAACCCTATCGCTAATCAACATTTCACGTGAAATATGTATGTTCCCTTTTCATTTTTTTTCGTTCACTAACTTTTTTGTCGTGAAAAAAATTTCCCTATTGTGAAATTTATTAATGGAATTTTGTAAACATTGAACAGCTGTAGCATACAAAATCAACTATTGTGGATGAATTGTTCACAACAAGTTCCCCTTCGAGGTGAATGTAAATGTCACTTCTATTCTATTGGCTATTGTGCTATTTATCGTACAGAAGAGTCATAAATTTTCAATAAATCCGATCCGTTTCGAAAAGATTTTAAAAATTAAACCAGATTCAGAAAGTAGAGATTAATATATTCCTCATCTAATTAATTTTTATTAAGTCCCTTGCATCTCACTAAGTAACCACAAAGCTCTTTAAGAAAATGGTCGAACCTTCTTTTGAGCAAAAAAAAAAACGTACATTTTTAAAAAAAGGGCAAATTAAGTGCCTAATATTGAAAAAAAAATCTTATTCTTGAGTTAAAAAATAATTTTTTTGATACATATTCCACTCGCATCCCATTATGGGACTATAAAGCCATTAAAAGAAATTGTATAAACATTCTTCTGAGCAAAAAAAGGTAGTTTTAAAAAAAGTATTTAAAAAAAATTGTTTTTGGAAACAATGAAGAAATAGCTATCTGAACTCCTTTGGATAATTTTTGCTAATACCAATAGGCGAAAAGCTACATTCATTTGAAGATAACCCTGTTTGACCAAAATGTCAAACTTTGACCTCTTTTAAGTCCGGCAGTTCTTGACCGATAGAGCTGAAAATTTGTGTCTAGCCTACTATCCAATAATACTAACCTTGGTTCAATTTTCATCTAAATCAATTTTTTCATTTGGGTCACTTGACACAAAATTGCCCATATAAATTTTAATCTTTACAAATCAATTTTTGAAATTGTGTAAAAATTGTTTTCAATCATGTTTAATAGATTATATTCAAAACAAATTATTATAATTGAAATCTTTTTAATTCAATTTATAAAATATTGAATTCAAACAAAACCAATTCGTTCTGAAGCAATTTAGCATTTCATAGAAATCAATTCAAGTGCTTCGAAAGTATTTGGGTTTTCCCACTAACCGGCCAAGTTTCAGTTTATATGGTAACACTAAAAGAAAGAGACAACCATAGTGCATTCACAATTGTATATTTATTGTAGGAAAATATATAAAACCAATTGCAGCCTATTTATATTTTACAACAAATTATTACAAAATTATATTTAAAATGGTACGTTTAAAAATGTAATTACAACTAAAACAATTTATAAAACTTATAAAAATAATAATTTTTATAATTAAGGTTTAAAAAACTATAAATAAACAGTTTTAATAAAAATATTTTCTCAAACAAAAAGAAACAAAATTTTGTTGTAATAAATTCTCTATGCATGTGTTTGTGTGAGTGTGTTTAAGTGAAAAAAAGAGAGAAAGAAAAACAACAAAAATTAAAACAACATGTCGGCAGTCGGCATTAAAATAGCAACAACAACAGCAACCCCAAATCCACACACGGCAGCTGCAACTGTCGTCGACGTCGATGTTAATGATGTGAGAATTAAAACAACAACGTCTACTAATGAAACAGACTGCGCGCTATTTGTCAAAACTGGCGAAGAAAAAAATTCTTCATTTTCTAGTTTGTCTTCAGTGAAAGAACAACAATCGTCTTCGTTATCATCGACTTCCTCTGGAAATGAGTTGCAACAAAGTAAAGTTCCTTTAGAAAATTCTCAAAATAATCGCCATCTGCCAGATGAAGAGAATGAAGCGGAAAATTCCCAAACACCAGTATCAACATCATCAAACAGGGACTTGACTCACCTCAAACAGGGTGATGTTGTGGACAACAACCCATTGGCACCACAACAATTAAGTCCCGGTTTAAGTTTACTACAACAAACTGCGGCGGCTTCATCGCCACCACCACACAGCTATAGGCATTCTCGAGCCTATCGCCATTTTAAAAATCCTCCCCAGCCTCACATGTGTATACGTACAACGACAGAAGCTGGTGAGGAATTATTTATAAATGTCTTAAGTTGGACTCGGATTGTAATACCTCAGGAACCCAGCGATCCAATACCTTTATATGGTGGTATGAGGGTAAGTTTTTGTCTTTGCACGAGTGTTTTAACTGTGAATTTCTGTTATTTGAGGTTATGAAGCTTTTATCTTTGTAACCACGTTGTGTGCTCGTCATAGTAGTAATATTTTCTATACTTTTCATGTTTAAAGGTTCCTCCTGGTAGTCCCCGCAGTCCACCTATAGTTTTTGCTGTTATGGCAAATCCTGAAGTTTTAAAAGATTCTGGCCGCCACAGTAAAGATCCCGAAGAACGTCGTGCAATGGTTGAATTAATGTGTGATTTTGTTGAAGCCATGAATCCAGGTGTTAAATTAGTGCGGTAAGTTGAGAGTGTGTACAGTTATTATTACAAATGTAAAGCGTCTCGATGCTCTTAAGAATTTATTAGAAATTTCTCTGCAAGAACAATGGCAAACATCTGTTTGATACTATTGAGGGAAATATTTGTCATTGCGTGGAACAAAGTTTCTATCAAGTATTTAAAGACAAAATGAAAAACTTGATGGAAACTTTTGTGTACGTGTGATTTTCAACAACAATAATGGCTATGTCCATTCGGTCATTTATTTCTTGTATGGTTTGTTCTATGTATTGATGTACATACATATATTTCCCTCAATAGTGCCAATGTTAATTGACCGGTCAAGTTGGCTGTTGGATAGAAAAACGGACAGTAAGATGTATAGAAAGATGGAAAGAAATCTGTAAAAGTTGATGAATAGAATGTTGGGATAGTAAGAAGTATGATTAATAGAAAGAGGAATAGTAAAAAGTAAGATGGATAAAAAGGGGGATAGTAAGATGGATAAAAAGAGGTATAGTAAGAAGATGGATAGAAATAGGCATAGTAAGAAGAATGATAGTAAGAAGTAAGATTAAGAGAAACATGGAAAGGATGATGGATATAAAGCTGTAAAGGGATGGATGGAAAGGATTGTGGATAGAAATACGGAAAGAATGATGGATAAAAAGGTGGAATGGATGATGGATAAAAAGATGGAAATGATAATGGATAGAAAGTTGGAAGGATGAAGTATAGAAAGATAGAAAGGATGATGGATCGAAAGATGGAAAGGATGATGGATAGAAAGATGTCAAGGATGGATGGATAGAAAGGATGAATGGATAGAAAAATGACTAGGATGAATGTATATAAAGATGGCAAGGTTGAATGGATAGAAAATTGGCAAAGATGAATGAATAGAAAGGTGCAAGGATGAATGGATAGTAAAATGGATACTAAGATATATGGTAAGATGGATGGTTAGATGGATAGTTAGATGGATAGTAAGATGGATAGTAAGATGGATAGAAAGATGTATAGTAAGATGGATAGTAAGATGGATATTAAGATGAATAATAAGATGGATAGTAAGATGGATAGTAAGATGGATAGAGGTAGATAGATAGATAGATAGATAGATAGATAGATACATAGATACATACATAGATAGATTTAATTTAAATGAAATTAATCCTTTATTCTTCCCCAACTAAATAGCAATGCAATCATTTTAAAAGATCGCGATATATCGGGCGAATTAAAAGATGTTTGGAATGCAGTACAGGCTCAAAGAGATCGTGAACGTGAAGAGCAACTTATACTGCAACGCCAACAACATCAGCAACATTTCCATAATATAACAAATGCTTCGACAAATGGTAGTTTAAATGCAAATTCTGCCCTAACAAACAACTCCACGAATACAGGAACAACTACGCAACAAATGTTTGGAAAATCTATGCAAATTAATGCTGCTGGCGAAGCAGTGGATGGTAGTAGTGGAACACCACCTAGAAGTAGAAAAATTATACATGAAGTACAAAATGATAATAACGCAAGCAATATAGATGTAGAAATGCAAGAGACAGATATGACAAAAACAAGCAATAGCCAGCTGTCGTTAGCATTGTTGGCCGAGCATTTGGATAATAAAATGTCTTTAGCGGGAGGAGGAGGAGGAGGAGAGCATGCAGAGCAAACACAACAGCAGCAAAACAACCAAAATTCTATAACAAATGATGCCTTAAGTAATGGAAACAACAGTAAAGAGTCCTTAATACAGGATAGGGGTAATAATAAAATTGACTTAAATAATCAAATGAATAATATCAACAGTAATAAAGATCTTAAGACACAAACGGCAACATTAACAAATGGCTCTGCCACCAATTGTAATGATATAGAAGTAACAAAAACTATTATTGCTACAAGTACCCCAACAAATAATACTTCAACCATTCCCGCCCAAAATCCAAACACCTGCATTACACCACCTACTACCACCACTACTCCTCCGGCTCAAACACAACAACAACAGGTGCCTACTAAAAAAGAAAAACTAGGAGGTTTCTTGCCAAATGGTTGTATATTCCCACGTTTCACTAAAAACAATAAACACAAAGATAAGGACAAGGAGAAGGAAACCAAAACAAAAGATAAAGAGAAAAATGTTTTATTGAGTGCTTTAAAAAAATCCAAGGATAAAAAATCAAATGCTGCAGCAGCTACTGCAGCAAATCAGGATGACAAAAATACCTCGTCTAATAGTAACAATACAACTGCCGCCTCCACCAATTGTAATCCAACAAATAATAAACAACAACAACAACAAAAAAACTGCCTCCAACAATTGGAAAGTGGTGTACAAAAATTGGACTTAAATAATCATCATTTACATCAACATCAAACTCATCAAAATATGGCTGATAATAATGTGAACAATACCAGTGCCACAACAAATAAAACTAATGCAACAACAACAACAACAACTAGTAGCTCTAGCGGTGTGGGTGTTCATTAGTTTACAACATTTTAATATGTTATGGTTAAAAGCAGCAGAAGCAGCAATAACATCAAAGCGTTCTTAGAAGGTAAAATTTTATTTTAGTATTTTTAGACCGACCGACAGCCCTGGGCAACTATTGTTATTTTCAATTTAGGTCTGTTGTGAGCTGGTTAAGAAATCTTAAAGAATTTATGGTGTTTATTAAAAAATTTACTTTTTTAGAAAGCATTTTTTAACTGCATTTTTATGAAGAAGTTTTAAGTTTTAAAGGAAAATTTGCTTTGTAAAAGGGACTTTTTTAAAAGTGTACTTTTTTGCAAAGTACTTTTTTTACTTTAATCTTTAATAAGACTTTGTTGTAATTTTTATATTTTTTAATTTTTAAATTTATAAAAAATCTCCGAAAATTCTTTAAGATTTCTTTAAAAACGTATAAAGTATTGTATGTATAACTGTGTAATATTGTACTATATAATCTAAAAAGGAAAACAAAAACACATTTAATCAAGCAAACAACTCACACATTTACATTTAAACATTTATTTATATTTATACGTATAGAAACTATAAAAAAACTAACAATTATTTTAAGGTACAAAACACAAAACACTCACAGTTTTTTTTACATCTTTAGATGTATTAAAAAAAAGTAAGAAACTTATCTCTTTAAGATACAAATTTACTTATAAAGTCAATTTCCTTTTTTTTTATATATACTCACATGTTTTGAAAGAAAACAACAGCAAACAAATCCAACAAAAACAATATAAATGATAAGACTTAAAATACATAAATTTTTCACATCCTTTAGAATAAAAAAGGTTAAACAGTAATGGAAGAATGCAATTTCTTTAAAATTTTTAATTACTGTGTAGCCTCATAGAAATCTCTCTCTCTCTCATTCACTTACACTCAATAACAATTTTTTAAATATATTAAAAAAAAAAAAAACGAAAAACAAAAATAGTTTGATAATAGTTAAAGAACAAAAAAACACACAGAGGTGCCATTACAAAAACAATTTATAAGAATGCATATTTAAACAATAATTACTAACAAATAATACTTCCAAAATTTAACTTTTGTTTTGAGTAATTTATGATTGTATAGCAGTAATTGTCAGTGATTGTTAGAAAGGAAAATTTACACTATTATATGGACTAGTCAATTACTACTCTATCCGCTAGTCTCTTCTAATATAATTAGTTTATTGACTAATCTAATGACTAGTCTATAGACTATTCTGTTTATTAGTATATTGACTAGTCTATGGACTTGTTTATTGACCAATCTATGGAGTAGTTTATTGACCATTCTATGAACTATGCACTAGTTTATTGAATGCCTTATGGACTAGTTGATTGATTAGTTTACTATTCCGCTTACTAGTGTATTGACTAGTAAGCAGACTAGTTTATGGGCTAGTTCATTGACCAGTTTATGAATTAGTCTATGGACAAGTTTATTGACCGGTCTATGAACTATTCTTTGCATTGGTTTATTGACTGACTTATTGACTAGTTGATTGATTATTTTATGGACTAGCCGATTGACTATTCAATGAACTTGCCTATTTACAACTCTATTAATTAGTCCTTTAACTTTTTGACTGATTAGTCTATTGTCGAGTTTATTAAGTACTCTATGCACTAGTCTATGAACTATTCTATAGACTATTCTTTGGACGAGTCTATTGGCAAGTTTAGAACTAGGTTATTGACAAGTAGATTGACAATTCTATGGACTAGCCTATTAAGATGCCAATTACTAGACTTTTATCAAGTCTATGAATAAGTATATAGAGTACTAATTGCACTGGTCTATAATCTATTCTGTGAAGTCTATTGAGTAATCTATGCACAAATCTATTGACTAGTTGATTGTGTATTTTATGTACTAGTCTGTTGACTAGATGGTTGAATACTCATGGATTAGGCTGTAGACAAGTTTAGGACTAGGCTATTGATAAGTCTATTGTCTTGTTTATTGAGTACTCTATACATCAATCTATTGAATATCCCAGAGACTAGTCTATGTACTAGTTGATTGACTATTCTTTGCACTACTCCATTGACTATGTATTTGACTATTCTATGGACAAATCGATTGTCTTGTTCTATTGACTGGTGCATTGACTATTCTGCAGAATAGTGTATTGGCAAGTCTATGGATTAGTTTATTCATAAATCAATAGACTAGTCTGTGGACTAGTTTACTTACTATTCTATAGACTAGTTCTATTGAGTAGTTTTTGAACAAATCAATAGAATAATGTTATGACTACTTAATATAACGTGCTGGTAGTGCGCTATTTGTTGAAAAGTACAACAAAAAAGTTCAATAGTACTGAATTTTCCATTTCTAACTGAAACACATGGCCGTTACTGTAATAGAATATACGATTTAAAAATTGTCATTATTTTTAATAGTCAGTTTTCATCTACAAATTTAACCAGAGCAGAACAGACTATTTAAGTAATAACAATTTTAAATCTTCTTTTTTAAACTCTTAATTTTTGGTCGTAAAACTGCAATAACAACAAGTCTGAATATAGAAAGAACTTTCTTAAGTTGTTCCTTTTATTGAAATGAAAAGGTTCCGTAATTGTAACAAAAGTTTAATTAAAAAAAATTTTCAAGTTCTACGAAATTTGAAAAAAAGTCGAAAACCACAAATCTATACTTTTCTATTGGATTGAATTGCCCCGATATCGCCATATTTGAGACGTTTTAGCTACACGAAATCACCTTTACTTTTAAATTTCTTAAGTTCTAACTATTGGCTCCAGAATGAAAATTTAACGTCTGTTATATCTTGTATTAACCTAAAGTTTGAACGAACTATAAAAGTATTAAAATCGAGCTCTCATCTCAATTCTTTCGAAAAGTATACTCTGGTCACTGGGTTAAACATTTGTTGGTCTGTGTAATATAAGAATTAGGGTATGTTTTCCACAAAGGTTTTTGCACATAAATAAGATATGAAAATGTCAATTGTTTACTGTATACATCCTAGGTAATCTAGCATTAAGTTAGTGCTACTTTATAAAGGACACTTGAGCTAGTCTTAACTATAAATTGCAAGTCTAAGGTAGTATCAGCTAACCGTATTCGATTGCGTCCAGCATAATCCCCCCTATTCTGCATTTCGATTACATTTACGCAACGATCGACAAAAAGGTATTCCAACAAAAAACTGAATCGTAAGAAAAAGAAGAAGCAATTCCATTTCGTTTCAATGCTTTACGAATGTGTGTATTCTGCGTTACGATCGTACCTACGTTTTTGTAAGTTGTTGTTTATGTGGCGGAGAGTCGAATTGAAATGCAGAATACCAAAGTTGCCAAAGAGAGGAAATTTCGATTCGAATTGAAATGCAGAATAGGGGCGAATAATAAGGGTTTTGATTCCATAATAAACTACAATATATCAGGAAAATACTTTCTATACTGTTACTGTTTAATATTTACGATAAATTGATTCTTAATAACAAATCGTGTTTTAATAGAATCCATTCATTACCGAAATTTTAAAACGACCAAAAATACATTGAAAATTGTATGTTATCGATAAAGAATCGTATTCCTGATTAGATTTCATTACCCCAATGTATAATTTTTTTTATAATTTGACAACCCCGAATATTTTCAATTTTTCTATATCGTTTTTGTTAAATATTTACGTTAAATTGATACTTATCAACAATAATCCAGATTTTGTTTTTAATTTGCAACTAAAGATTTTAAGCCACAAAATTAGCTTGTTACAGAAGACATGAACCAAAACTGCACAAATTACTTTTGTTAATGAGAATTTTATACAAATTCTAATATCCATTATCCTTGATTAGCATACAATTTAACCTATAAATAACTTTTGTTTGCAACAGTTTTTATTAGACATTCTTTATTAAGAGCTTTAAACAGTTCTTTAATAATTCCTTTTTGTCTAAAAACTTAAGAAAATCAAAGCTTTATTCGAAAACTTCCTTGTTACTGTTTTCAATAAAGCTTTTCTTTAAAAATTTTATAATTAAAATCAATTATCCTTGTTATATATAAACCTTTAAAAAAAGGGTTCATTAAAAATACATATTTCTTTAGACTTTTACATTGAAATGTAAACTAAATAATCCTTTACAATTATGTTCATCTGAAAAGAAGAAACACCTATTCCAAACTTTAAAAGGAATATTGTCTGATGTTTATCCTTGTTCCCTTATTTTTACTAAGTTTCTTTATTGAGAACAAAAATTGATTGCTTGTACAATAAATTGTAAATATTTCTTCAATTAATTTTTTCTTTGGTAATATTTATAAAATTTATTTTATTCGTCTCAAGAGACCAAAACTTATTTAGTATATTATTGAGTAAATCTTTTATACTTATTTTATTTTACAACATTTCTTTATTGAGAACAAAAATTGATTGCTTTAATTAAATAAAAAACCGTTTATTTATTATGTCGACTTTATTGTCGTGATATCCTTAAACAACTAACTTAAATTATTTCGTTTTGTTTATCAACTAAAACTCTGACAGACATTCAGTCAGCAGCTTTACATTTGAAAAGAAATATGAGTTGTTTTCATATTTGAATTTATTTATGTTGACACCAGATGTTCATTAAATAACAATAATACATACAAATCAACAAGCAAACGGGAGTTTGTTGGAGATATTTTTAATTCCAAATTAAATTCTTTTTGCAAACATATTCTTTTTATGCAACGATAACAATCTTTCACTTAATCCCCTTTTATATGTTGCAGACTTATTTAAGTTATCTGACAGTTACTAATAAAAAAATTGCTTGTGCAAGAAATATAGAAGTTCTTGAAACCAAGTGAATTTCTTCTTAACCCATTAAACGCCAAGGCAATTAAAAATAAAAAAAATTGAAATTCATTTATTTATTTGTAGTTAAATAGAGTTAAAGATTACAGAAAAAAACAAAAAAGTAAAAAAAAAAATTTTGGAAATGTGTTTTTGGGGCTGTACTCGGACGGGTACAGTGGCGTCATGAGTATGCAATTTTTTCAAGTATGAAAATTTTTGAAGCATACTTTTTCAACACATAGAGCGACATCGCATTGCTCACATAACCATCTTATTCTGTTATGACATTCACGACATCGTAACGGATTTTTTATCCTTTTCGGAAAGTGGCTTCCGCCACTATTTGCAACACCAGGAGCCAGCGATCGTTTGGAAATATTTACTTTCTGGGTATAGTTTCGCAAATAAAATCTAACAATGTTGCGTTGAAACTCTAGCAAGTCCATTTCAGATTTGTTTGCAGTTCTAAACAATTTCCAGGCATTTACCACAGTGGAACTCAACATTGCGGTAAAAAGCGGCCACCACCATTTCTTTCCTCGGAACTTTATCCTGTAGTTATTTACAGCTTGATCATGGAGGTCAACACCGCCCATTCCTGCATTATATTCTGCGATCAAGCTCGGTTGGCTTACACTAATTTTAGCTTTTTCAGTTGAACACCATCTGTTTACCATATGCATTGGCTCAACACATTCAAAATTCGACCCCACAGTTACTGCACTATTGTCGTTCCATTTAACAAATATTATTTGGTTGTTAGTGTCAAATTTGCAATCAAAATATCCTCTCTTTTTCTTCTTGAAAATTGCATTTGATTCTAGTGGACATTTTTTTGTTCTCGATTCACGAACAGTGCCGATAGCTCGAAATCCTCTTTTTTTTAATTCTACTAGAAGATCATATGACGTAAAGAAATTGTCAAAAAATACTACATGATCTGTAGGATTAGGAACGTTGTCTAAAAACTCAAGCACGACCCGGGATCCAAGCGGGAGTTTTGATCTTTCTGCACTTACACCTTTGGCTCCACAGTACGTATCGAACTGGTATAAATAACCGGAGCTGCTTGTTAGCATCCAATTCTTAAAACCAAATCTCACTGGTTTACCTCTGATGAATTGTTTAGAAGAATTTTCTTTATATAAAACGAAGAACAATCTTCTACGCCCTCCCCTTTTATGTATTGCAAACTTTTTTAAGTTACCTAAGCATAAGTTGTTTAAACTTTTTGGAATATAATTCACTTAAGATTTTTCCAAAAATTAACACTATTTGAATGCTTATGTTATAAATTTTGTAAAGAAGAAATGTTTCAATTAAAAACTTATACAATATACAAAATTTCTTTATTATGTTTTTACATTCAGGACTCTAGTTATGATATGTATGATAAAATAAAATAAAAAATGTATAAGAAATTACAAAATTTCTTACTGAATTTGTAATTAAATTGATTTCTCCTTGCAATATACATATATAATCCTTATCATCAGTATAAGAAGACCTATCTAGTTAGAATTTTCATTCAAATATTTTTCAAAAATCTTTTATTTCGTCTACTTAAGGCAATATTTTTAGAATTTATAACATTTTTTTATTGAGAACAAAAATTGATTGCTTTTACAATAAATATACATATTTTTGAAACGTTCATAGTGCAAACTTTTATAAGTTATATAATTCTATATGTATGTATATATGGTCCCGGAAGGACCATATTATTCTTCCGGTAAATTTTCTCTATTAGTGTCTGTGATCCAATTTGATATTGTCAAACACTTTCTTCATTTGATCTTCTGGCTAATTATGATCATTTTGATGTAAAAATCTCCTGAAATAACATCCTGTTCTTTATATTCCTTATATTTTTTTGCCTGAATTATACCTTCCACCGCTTGAGTTGTTGGAAGCGTCAAAATTGCTGTGCCATGAGCTAGCAGTTATATTTTCCTTATTTATTTTATCCTTTTCTTACAAAGTTTCTTTATTGAGAACAAAAATTGATTGCTTGTACAAACCAGAAACATCTTCCCCCTTTCATGTATTGCAAACTTATGTAAGTTACCCTAGCAGCTACAAAAATTTCTCATGAATATTGTAATACTTATCTTCGATATAAAAAAAAGACATATCTAGTCTATGAAAATCCTTAAAATTATGATCATCAACAATACTATGATGCTATATACATAATACATATTCTTAACTTTTTGTAGAATATTGTGATTGTAAATCAGTTATTATTTTTACAAACTGTCTTTATTGAGAACAAAAATTGATTGCTTGTACAAGAAATATAGAAGTTCTTGAAACAAAATTAAATTCTTCTTAAAGTAATTTTCTTTATATAAGCAAAACTAAGTTAAACTTTTTGTCATATAATTCACTTAAGATTATCCTAAAATGAACACTATTTGAATGCTGTGTTATAAATTTTATTAAAAACTTACACAATATACAAAATTTCTTTATTATGTTTTTACATTCAGGACTCTAGTTGTGATATATATGATAAAATAAAAAAAAAATTGTACAAGAAATGACATTAATTAATTAAACTCATTACTCCTTGCAATATACATATATATAATCCTTAACATCTGTATAATAAGACCTATCTAGTTAGACATTTCATTAAAATATTTTCCAAAAATCTTTTATTTCGTCTACTTTAGGCAATATTTCTAATTTATAACATTTCTTTATTGAGAACAAAAATTGATTGCTTGTACGTAAAAAGCACATCATTTTGCTTTCTATTTACAATATATAAATAATTTCCTTATTTTAAATCCCTTTTATTAATCCTTATTATAGATTTTTTAAACAATTTTGCCTTCTACCCACAAAATGTATTAAATTTCTTTATTGAGAACAAAAATTGATTGCTTTTGTTACAAAAAAAAGTGTTTTAATCCTTAAACAAATCAAATTCTATTATTTTTATTTTTTATTTACCTAGAAAATTTCTTTATTGAGAACAAAAATTGATTGCTTGTGCATAAAAAGCGCATTCTTTTTGCTTTGTATATTAATTCCTTATTTAAAATCCTTTTAAATCCATTTTACATACTAGCAATATGTATAAAATTTCTTTATTGAGAACAAAAATTGATTGCTTTTACGGTAGGAACTTTTTATATAAAAATCTCCTACTAAAAGCTCCCTACTTTTAAAATATTTTTCATTAATAGTGTTCCATTTGCATTCTATTTGCAATACACATGTATAAAATTTCTTTATTGAGAACAAAAATTGATTGCTTTTACGGTAGGGACTTTGTTGTATACTAATTTGTTTAAAGTTAAAAGCAAATGTATTGATTTCACATAAAAAGCTCCTATTCCTACTAAAAGCTCCTTAATTATCATATACTCTTCTATATTATATTGCATTTTATTTGCAAAATGTATAAAATTTCTTTATTGAGAACAAAAATTGATTGCTTGTACATAAAAAGTGCAACCTTTTGATTTATATTTAATATAAACATATAAATTTCTTATTTAAAATCCTTTTATTAATCCTTATTTTCTATTTTTAATCCATTTTGCATTCTACTTGCAATAGGTGTAAAATTTCTTTATTGAGAACAAAAATTGATTGCTTTTACGGTAGGGATTTGGCTTCATACTAAATTGTTTAAAGTTAAAAGCTTCGATCCCTGCAAATTTATTGCTTTTGCATAAAAAGCTCCTATTTATTGAAAACAAATCTCTTACATATTATCTTGCATTTTATTTGCAAAATGTATAAAATTTCTTTATTGAGAACAAAAATTGATTGCTTGTACATAAAAAGTGCATCCTTTTGATTTAACTTTACAATACTCTTATAAATTCCTTATTTAAAATCCTTTTATTAATCCTTATTTTTGATTTATTAATCCATTTTGCCTTCTACTCGCAATATGTATAAAATTTCTTTATTGAGAACAAAAATTGATTGCTTTTACGGTAGGGACTTGGCTTCATACTAAATTGTTTAAAGTTAAAAGCTTCGATCCCTGCAAATTTATTGCTTTTACATAAAAAGCTCCTATTTATTGAAAACAAATCTCTTACAAATCTATTATCTTGCATTCTATTCGCAAAATGTATAAAATTTCTTTATTGAGAACAAAAATTGATTGCTTGTACATAAAAAGTGCATCCTTTTGATTTAACTTTACAATACTCTTATAAATTTCTTATTTAAAATCCTTTTATTAATCCTTATTTTTGATTTATTAATCCATTTTGCCTTCTACTCGCAATATGTATAAAATTTCTTTATTGAGAACAAAAATTGATTGCTTTTACGGTAGGGACTTGGCTTCATACTAAATTGTTTAAAGTTAAAAGCTTCGATCCCTGCAAATTTATTGCTTTTACATAAAAAGTTCCTATTCTTTATT